CTCGAAGGAGGGCCGGGCGGCGCGAACCCAGCTTGGGGCCTGGCTGCTCACCAGCTCATCCCCCACCCCACCCCACTTGGCCCCACACCGTCTTGGTTTCAAAACTGAAAGTCCCCGGTTCCAGGAACCCTCTCAGTCGTGGGCAAGCGGGAAGGCCGGTCACCCGACTGCAGGCTGAGCAGGAGCTCGTGAGAAACTGAGAAACGTCGAGTTCATGCCTGGGCTAGAAGCAGAACCTCATTTTCCCAGAAATTCAGTTCCAATGATTTTCTCCCAGCCCAACTTTTCCAAACTCATGTGGCAAAATTCCTCCGAAAGAAACAGTAGAATGTCTTTATTTTGTTTCATTATCATCTTAGTGGAGTGTAGGTGATTACAACAAAGAACAGAATTAGGGATTGGAATATCTTTAATACTTAGCTGCATGCAATATGGGCGCCTTAAACCGTCATGAGTAACCAAGCATTTTTTTTTTTCATTATAAAGTGATATTTTCACACTGCCAAGAGACGAGTAAAAATTCACATACGATTTTTATCACCATAGCCAGCTGCATTTTAAAGTGTGTCTTGTTTGTCTCAGTCTATGCAGGGTGCTATAACAAAAGACCATAAACTGAGTCACTTATAAACAACAAAAACTTCTCTCTCACAGTTCTGGAGGCTGGGAAGTCCAAGGTCAGGGTGCTGGAAGATTCCACGTCTGGTGAGGGCCCCACTTCCTGGTGCACTGACTGCAGTGTGCTCCCGTGTCCTCTCATGCTAGAAGGAGCAGGCCAGCTCTTTGGGACCACTTTATGATATATGGCACTAATCCCACTGCTGAGCGCTCCAGCCCCAGGACCCAATCAACTCCCAACGGCCCAGTCTCCTAATGCTATCACCCCGGGGGTTGGGGGGAGCATTTCAACACATGAATTTTGGGGGACACAAACATTCAGACCACAGCAGAACTTCAATCACTTTTTCTTAGAAGTTTTTTTTTTTTTTACGTATGATAATTATAGTGTACACAGAAATTTGGCAAACTCCTTTTCACTTTGCGTTATATTGTAAACATCTGTATGTGTCGCACCAGGGTTTCCATACCCAGACTTTTAAATGACCACATCAAAAACGTACTTTTGAATCAGATCTAAAAAATTTTAAAGAAATCCTTTTATGAAATTAATTAACACACAGGAGCCATAATGAAGCCCTGAAAAATTGTCATTTTAGAAATCTGTTGACATGGAAAGGTGCTCATCCTATTTTTAAGTGGAAATAGTCAGATGCATAATTATTTCTGGGTGGTAATTTTTATTTTTTGCCTTTTTTACTTTCTATAATGAGCATGTAATAATGTGATGATAATTTTGTAATAAAAATATAAGGAAAATTGTATAGGGAAAAAGACCAAGTGGAGATTTGATGCTAAATACTATCTCTCAAAAAGGCCACCAGAGGCATTCTTTAAAATGAAGACTCCAAGGATCGTGGGTGAAACAAACTGAAGGACGGAGACACAGGACAACTTCACCCTGCTGTGCAGTGGGAGTTCCAGGAACACCTGGGGTGCCGCTGAGTAGCCCGAGGCACTGGGGGGCCGAGCAGGGTTTCAGGGCAGGCTCCCTGGACCGACTCTCTCAGGGATGCTTCGGGATAAGGCTGTGCCGAGCTGAGAGCAAGAGCTTCCAGCCTGTGCCAGACTTACTTTTGCAACGGGAATGCAGGCATCCAGCCAGGTGGTGCTAGTCAGTGACACCCTGTGGCTAAGTCACCCAGGATGCATCTAGGCCCCAAAACCAAGCGCTTCACTATAGTTTGATTTTCCACGTAGAATTGCTCAGAATTCAAAAATGCAATTCCATCGTTAGGGAGCCGTGCCAGACCTGGTGCTAGGCATACAGCGCTGAGTACATATCTCTCCTCTCCTTATCCGCCCGTAAGAGCACAGAGATACGTAAGTACGTGTTTAAATTCCTGCACATTCGATGCTACGATTTTGGGAAATAAATGCACACGAGGAGTGTTAATGATTTAACCAAGAATTGATTAAACCTACAGGTTGGTCAGTCAAAGGGAGGAGGAGAGGATTGTAAAGAAATAGTTCCAGGAAGATGGAACAGCATTCAGGAAGATCAGGAGTATAACAGAGGGAATGGCCTTAAAAAACGGCAAAAATGTTTTCTGTCTCTTTAAAATGTGCTCCACTCCTTTTTGAGAACTAAAGCCTGCATCCCTGCCTCAGGCCAGTGGTCAGGAGGGGCAGGTAATGCCTTTTGTTCTTTGTGCTGCAGGAAAGGGCTTAGCCCTACCGGGCAGAGGAGGTCCTGAGTGGAGGTCAGCGGACTGTCCTCAGGGAGGTGGGCCGATTAGAACCGTCAACTGTGGTTGAGCAGCAATTGCCTGAAGCTGGGAACCCTCCCGTTAAAAGCTCTGTATTTTTGCTCGTTATTAAGACAACAGCATTTTTCATAGAGTAGTCTCCATCCTCCTCCTTTGCCAACAAAGTAATAAAGTTCTCTTTCCTTCTTCTCAAACCACTTGTTCTCCTTCTTCTGATGTGGCCTCGAGGATAAATGGCGAGCTTTTGGTAATGGCAGGAAAGGTTCTCATTGTAAATGTAAATTGTAAATTGTCATTTTATCTTTATACCTTGTTCTCTTACAAGTTTGGTTAGTGTGAGTCATTCCTGGGTCCAATCACATCTTGATACGGTGACAAAATTGACTTTTTTAGCCTATGCAAGCTGAGGATGAGATCAGGGCACCTGGTGGGTCCCTCAAGCCAGTGCCACTCACCTGTGTGGTCAAGCCAATCTCTCCAGATAATAATCCCTGGTTTCTTTTTGCATGGTTATTCATGCTGAAGCAACAGTGCTTTAATATTTGATATTGGGCAGCTTATTCCCAGTGGGTTAAAGATAAGCTCAATGTTATTTTGAAATAGGATTTTCTTCCCAAACCGAACATCAGTATTGCCCATGCTATCAGAGGCGGGGCGGGTGATGGGATGCATACTCTATCCAACAGCGATCCTTGGCTTTCTCCCATGGTCTGCTGTTTCTTTTTGCATGATCATTTTCACACTTGTGCTTATTCATTTCCACTCACAATGTTACCTTTTTAATTTAAACCCCGGACATTACCTGCATATGCAGCACACACAGCTATCAACTTCCTTTCTAGAAAACTTCTGGGACTGTCCAGAAGAGAATCTAACACATGTAAATCCAGCACAAGTCCTGCCTCTAATGAGACATTACCAAATCTTCTAACGTGCACCCACGCACATTCCTGCCGCTTGCAAATACTCTACGTTAGCTTGATGCTTTTCATCGCTCTGTTCCGCGGTCCCCACCGACTGGTGCGTTTGTTAACAACAGTGGAGGATTGCGGGCGCTTACTGCATGCTGGGCAGAGTCCTAAGTGCTTTCCGTGAATTAGCTCCATCCTCACAACCACCCTATGAGGTGGAGGCTGTCACTGTCCCCAAAGTTTACACACAGGTGAGTGGTGGAGTCGGGGCTCCCACCCGGCGCCCAGAGCTCACCCCCTTATCTCTGCTGCCCCTGCCTGGCCAACACCAGGGCCGTCATCCCCACGAGCTCTGTGTCTCTCAGAGCGTGTCCCGTGGTGCCTGGCTGCGAGGGGCCCCTCCGTGCCTGCTGCCTGCCTAACTCGTGGACGCGAGCTGCCCAGGAATGGTCCACCCAGATCTCTCAAACGTAGCTCGTCGCGACACGAGCAATGCGTGACTGTTACTGTTGTGTCGACATGCAGCGGTGCATGCACCGACTACAGCGGTGTCGACATGCTGCAATGAGGGCAGTGCAAAGCCAGTGACATTTTCTAGAATGATGAGAGAGAGAGAGAGAGAGAGAGAGAGAGAGACACTTTACGAAAGGGTTTTCCTAACCCAAACTTCTCTTTTAGAAAAATTTGCTAGGAGGGCAAGAGAGTAGACGTTAGATTTTTTTGCATGAGAGTTTGCTTTTGGGGGCCCTTTCAGATTTTGATAGCACTTAGGGAACTACTCTAATTTTAAAAAGGGAAACAGCGAGGGTGAGCCCAGAGCTCAGAGCAGCGATAAAAACGGCCATTTCACCACCAGGCAGTTAGCTCTCCCCGGCCACGAGTGCGGCCCGGAGGGGCAGCCTTTGGTTCTCCCCCACACCTTCCACGTGGATGCGGAAAATATATCCTCAAAGAAGACTCGAAAGCTCTTTTGATGCCTTTATTGACAATCTGAGTACACCCTTAGACATTATAGTCAGATATTTCTTAACACATGTCAGAGAAAAATAAAGATTCTTCTGCAAAGGCTTTACTTTTATTCTTTTGATGTATTCGTGTTTTGTTACACTGTTCATGCTCAAACAATAGTTTGTGATTCATGTTCATGCAGAGTGGCTGTTTTTAACTTAAGAACCACTGTTCTGAGAAAAAGAAAGAAAAAGAAAGGAAAGAAGGAAGAGAAAGAAAGAGACAGAGAGAAGGAAAGAGAGACGAGAGAGAGAGAGAGAGAGAGAAAGAAAGAAAGAAAGAAAAAGAAAGAAAGAAAGAAAGAAAGAAAGAAAGAAAGAAAGAAAGAAAGAAAGAAAGAAAGAAAGAAAGAAAGAAAGAAAGACCACCACCACCAAGAAAGGAAAAGAGACCACGCTGGACAGCTGAACAGCTCCGGAAACTCACGGGAGCAAACCTCGCCGGGACATGGCAAAGCCAGCACACGGTGCAGATGTGGGAGAGGCAATAATGAAAAAACATCATTAAAAATAAGCTGCGGATGATAAAAAGTGCTGTGTGCTCCCCAGGACAGAGGGAGCCGTGTGATTGTCACATTGGGTCAGTGTAAGGAGAAGCAATTGACTGGGATTGCTGGTGACCTGGTGTCGGGCCCCGACTGGGGTCCAGACTGAGTGTGGACAGGAGCCGCTGGGACTTGTGGGCTCAGGCCCGGTGACCTTCCTTTTCCCCACACGACACAGACATCCCATCATTTCCGTGGGAACATGGGCCTGGCAGTGGGCAGTGCTGGAGGAGGTGCATTCGTGCCAGGAGCCTGGGGGCCGTGAGTGCTGATGTGGCCACCCTGCCTGGCCTGGGGCAGGGCCCCTGAGAGGAAAGGACAGTCCCTGGTGGCTGGAACACATGGACTGTCGGAAGCAGTTAGAGAAAGATGGAGAGATGTCTTTGGGAAGTGACCTGGGAAATTTCTGAGTTTGTCCCCTCTCTCCCTGCCAGCAAGGACTTCAGGAGCTGCATCTGAAAAGAGAAGCCCTGCTCCCGATTCCGTAATTCCCCGAGACCCTACACCCGGAAGGGACTCCATGCGCTAGTGGGTCTCATTGTGCCCTCGGTCACGGTCACTATCTCCCTGAGAAGCCACCAGCTCATGAGAACAACAGATAGTGGTTGTACTTTCTCAACTATCTGCACACGTGCGGGGGGCGGGGAGGGGGGAGGGAATGCGGTTTGCCACATCCAGTGTTAATCTTTCTGATGGGCTGTGAGTATCTCAGAAAAAAAGTTGAAAATTTGATCAGCACTCCAATTCAATCCATGCTAACGTGAGGAATATTCGAGCTGGCTTACTGGCCGAAGAACGAACTCTCCTGGGAGGAGCCCCCGGGGTGTGCAAGGCTCTCGGCCATGCAGGCCAGGGGCCAGCGTGGGTAGGCAGAGTGGCGCCCCCCACTTACGGAGGGAGTCAGGAATCTTTCACCCTGACAGTCTTGAAAAGGCTCCTCTTTCAAGCTTCTGATTTAATAATGTGCACTTTTCTTAAGATGGAATATCATTATGAAATCTTTTCTAAATACATCTCCTTTGTAGGCCCTTTATCCATTAAATTTATAGTGGAGTCAGATGTGTTAGCTGCAAAATGAATACTTAAAATCAAATTATGGATCTTGTAATATTTTCAGAAAAACAGTATCTTCTTAAAGTTGCAAATAATTAAACGGAATGAAAGTGCATTGAGTTTTGATTTCTTCCCTGTAATTCAAACATGCAACATTCAAATTAAACTTTCGTCATTTCTCACTTAGTCGGCAAACTGATTTATGCATAGTTGATATTTCACCAATGTAATTTTATAAAGATAGAATTCTTGAGGATAAACAAATATTTTTGACTATTGCCTGCGGCTCTTTGGGAACAGATGCTCTCCGAATATTGTAATAAGAACGTTGCTCTTGAAGCCATGAATATGGTTTGAGCGTGCACTGCAGAATCTTACTGAGAGCCACTGACAATAGTCCCTGAAACTATTTCCCCCCTAGCTGGCGGTTTCTTCACAGTATTGACTGAAGGTAAAATGCAGGAAAATTAAACCTGAGAAATCTCTCTCCACACACTGACCCAGCCTGATGCGAATCCGCATGAGAATGGCGGCACACGCAGGACACACGCGTGGCACCGTCATCTGTGCTCTAGTTCCCGAGGCCTGAAAGTGCCTCCCGCCGGCGTCGCAGTTGGCTCTGCTGTTTTCCACGGACACAGTGAAAAGGGTACAGGAGTTTCTGTTCATTTGCTTTTGTGATTTCAGAAAGGAAATTTGAAGTGTGCGTGTGTGCGCGTGTGTGTATTCAGAAAGGAAGTGGCAGATGGAGGCAGGAGGCTGTGCGTGTCCCTCTGCGGTGGCGCGGCCGGCGCCCAGCTACACATCGAACCAGTGGTCGCCCATGCAGGTGCGGTTCCACTCGCAGCCGCAGTTCCAGCACCACTCGAGCCGGCACTGGGGCTGAGGGCACTTCATGTGCATGCATCCTCCTGCGGGGACAAAGGACAAGGTGCAGTGGGTCTGCGGCACGCCTCCGGAAACCAGAACCCCCACGCCAACACGCTGCCCTAGGAGCCCCCTTCTAAGTGAATAATCGCGAGCAATACAAAGGCAGAGAGAATCCGATCTGCGGAGAAAGAGCGGAAAGCACAGTGAGGCAGCTCTCACGTCAGGACGGTCATTAAAAAAATGAACAGAATTGAGGCATGAACGCCTTCACCCAGAACAAATTTTATTTATTCATTTATTTTGAGATAAGGCCTCGCTCTGTCACCCATGCTGGAGTGCAGTGAGGTCATTATAGCTCACTGCAGCCTCTAACTCTAGGGCTCGAGCGATCCTTCTGCCTCGGCCTCCCGAGTAGCTGGGACTATAGACATGAGCCACTGAGCCAAACTTTAACTTATAAACCTGAGTTTATTCTCCTGAAATGGGATTTAGAGACAAATGCTTCATGTTTCACCGATAGGGGTCAATTCCTCATTTATTAATACATATATTAAATAATATAATTTAATACTATAACCTAATACTTTAATATAATATATGATAATTTAAATATGTTATGATTTTTAATCATTTCTGTAGTTACTTGCTATTTGGCTTGGCAAAACTCACAAAACAGGAATTGGGAGAGCATAGTACTTTCGATTGGGACTATGTCCCTTGATGCCACCCAAAATTTTATTTAGGATGAAAAGGATAGAAAGGAATTAATGAATAATGCTGGGTGCTCTATTTATTTCATTTACGCTTCAAAAACACCTTGAGATCATAGCATTATTCCGTTGCAGAATTTCCTCAAGGTGAAGCACTTTTAAACGGCGGAGGCTGAGATTTAACTGAGATCTCTGTGATTCCAATGTTCTTCCTTTCACAGAGCAGGGTCTCTGCAGCACGAGAGGAAAAGCCCTTGTTTTGGGCCTTATTTTGGAATTATTCACCTTCCCTTACGGGTTGCATATGGTCCCTGTCTGCCTCTGGGGCTAGACACCCCGTGTGCCGGGAAGAGAAGAGGAAGTTACTTGTGTGAAGCGTTGTGCAGAGAACTATCCCTGACCAAGTTTCCCAGGCAATTCAGGCACGAGCAGTTTCTTTGCTTGAATCCTACGTGGCACTGAATGGGCTCCATTTTTCAATTTTACCATTTATCTGGTTAATTTGGTTTTTCTTGCCAAATTTTCCAAGTAATTGCCTCGGTACTGTCTCCCTTTTATTATTAGAAGCCTGGCATGAGAACTTCCACTAATTTAAAATACTTATGCATATGTAGCTATAGGTATTTGTTTTAGGATAATTTATATACATGTAAAATCCTCCCCCTCCTCCTTATTTTTACTTCTTTTTGGTTTGTTTTAAAGATCATTAAAAATTACAGGTATGCAGAAGGCAAAGGAGAAAACTTACAACACTTCTATCTTAATACTTTCCATTTAGGATTGTGTCCTTTTCAACACATATGTAATGGTAGTATACTTATATGTTGGAAATAATATGACAAAAATAGTGTGATACTGTAAAATCACTTACATTTTCCTACAGTATCATGCAGAATTATTGAGCAATAAATTAAAACTCAGTGAACTTTTTTTTTTTTTTTGAGACAGAGTCTCACTTTGTTGCCCAGGCTAGAGTGAGTGCCGTGGCGTCAGCCTAGCTCACAGCAACCTCAAACTCCTGGGCTCAAGTGATCCTGCTGCCTCAGCCTCCCGAGTAGCTGGGACTACAGGCATGCGCCACCATGCCCGGCTAATTTTTCCTATATATATTAGTTGGCCAATTAATTTCTTTCTATTTATAGTAGAGACAAGGTCTTGCTCTTGCTCAGGTTGGTTTCCTGAACTCAAACGATCCGCCCGCCTCGGCCTCCCAGAGAGCTAGGATTACAGGCGTGAGCCACCTCGCCCGGCCTAAAACTCAGTGAACTTTTAAAGCAATTCTAAAGGAAAGGGTGAGGCTGTTGTTGCATTGTAACATCATGATACGTGTGTGCACTGGTTTTCATCTGTGGTTCCTGGTCCATAACTCCCTTTGCCGTTGTTATAGTTTTTGTTATAATGTTGGGGCCCCTTAGGCCTCAGAAAACAGAATCTCTCTCTCTCTCTCTCTCTGACCTTCCCCCGCCCTCCTGTCACCAGCCTACGGCAGGACTCTAACCTTCGCCTGCCTTTCCGCTGCGGGTGTTGAGACCCTCCTTCCACAGGGGCCTGCCCCACCCATGCAGGCGGGGGAGAGGAGTCTGCACAGACAGGCCCTGCGGCTCCCCACTCAGTCCTCGGGGGTCAGAGCGCACCCCTTTCCTCTCGGGCGCATTTCCACACGGCTGTCCCTGCTTCGGTCATGCCTGTCCGACGATGGCTCCGTAACAGGCCCAAGGGGATGGGCTTGGGCAGCTTGCAGATAGCCGGACACACGCAGGGGCCTGGAGGGCAGGGAAGCCCACTGTCCCTCCCCGGTACCTCGCCCTGGCATCTCTTCATCTGTACCCTCTGCAAGAGCCTTTATAATACACTGGGAGATACAAGCGTTCCCCTGAGCTCTGTGAGCCGCTCTGGCAAATTAATCCAATCCACAGGGCGGATCGTGGGAGCCCCAACCTGAAGCCAGTCGGTCAGAAGTCCTGGGGGCCTGGACCTGCCGGCTGCTGTCTGGGGACCGAGCCCTCAGTCTGTGGGGTCCGATGCTTTCTCTAGGTAGACGGTGTCAGAACTGAACTGGGGACCGGCTGGTGTCCACTGCGGAACTGATCGCTTGCCGGGTGTGTGGGAGAGACACCTCCACACATTTGGTCACGGAAGTCGTCTGTGTTAGCTGTCGCTGAGTGAGAGACTAGAGAAAGCGTCTGAGTATTGTTTTTCCTGCACTGGGACCTATCATGCCAAAATGGTATAACAGGTCCAATGGATCTGGGATACGGGCATTGTAAGCAATATTTTATGATAGAAACTGGCATCACAGTGGCATGGTAGGATAAGAAGAAAGGAAGCGGGAAGAGAGGGTAGGACTAGAAAGTTATCGACAATCTTTCCTGGTGTCTAACAGGCACGAGGCTACTGCTAGATCCCACGACGTGGAGGAACAGCGAGGACCGTAACTCTGAACACTTTGCCAGCTTAGAGGTGCACGCAAGCAAGAAGCTGCTGGAAACCTCACACACGGATTTGTGGACACTGACATGAAGGGAACGTGGCTTCCCTTAGGGTGGATTCTGTCCCCAGACTGACACGCCACCCGTGAAACGCCCCCCGTGTGGGCAGCCCACAGAGCAGCTCTTCGTTAGACCCAGAGAGAAGCTCCTCAACAGCCTGAAGGCAAACTGAACTGGCGACGCCCGCTCCTTGGCCAGAGAACGGAGCCCGGACCGCACCTGCTCGGGCTGGACGGGAAGGAAGAGGCGCTGCAGGGCGGAGGGGGCGGCGGGAGGAGGCGCCGAGGGTGAGCCGGTGCGTGGGCGGAAACCGCGCTCATCGCCACTCAGCCTAGCCGAGGGGAGACCGCTCTCCCCCAACACGCGGAGTCCAGGCCGCGGACCTAGGTGCGGGCCAGGTGGGGAGTCCTTGGTGACGAGGCCACGTCGGCCTCCGTGATGGAGAGAGACTTCACAGCAGGTTAGGCCACCACCAATAGACTTCAGGTTTCAGCTTTTTAGTTTGTGAATTAAGATTTCAGAAGGGAAACATCAGTGCTTTCCATTTACAGCACATCACGATGTCTTAAAGAAACAACCTGACGGGGACACTTTTCATCGGTCACTTGCCGCCTTCGACTCCATCGTCCAAGGCCGCAGTGCGCCCCGTCCAGGACACCGGCAGCGGGGCCTCCTGCACACGCGTGCTCACACCCCAGTGCCTTTGCACGTGCTGCTGGGGGCCTAGGATGCTTCCTCCTGGCTCCTCCCCGACTGGCTTATCTCTGCCGATTCTTCGACTCATGGCGAGGTATCATCTCTTCCAGGTAAGCCGCTTCGCCCGGGTCCCTGTGTCTGATAGCTTGCTTCCTCTGCATTTTATTAGACATATCTGTTGATGCGTCTAGCTTCTTTACTAGCTAAGCTCTAATTCAACAAATATTTACTGTCTGGGCACCGTTCTGGGCTCAGGGCATAGACAGACAAGGTTCCTGGCCTCATGGGTGTATGTTCTAGCCAGGTGACAGACACGTACACAAACACATCAACCAGTAATTTCGGGAGGTGGCGCGTGCTATGCGGTTATTATTAAAGAAGCCGGGGTGGCGTGGGGGAAGCGGGAGGCAGGCGCTGAGGGGAGACGGCCGTTACGGAGGTTCACGCAGGGAGGTTCACGCAGGAAAGGAAAGCGGCAGCGGGCTGAGGGAGCAGCTCTGAGCAGACACAGCCGGGGAGCCCTGCTCTCCCGAGCTCTGGGGCAGGGCGGCTCTCCAGGGCTGTCCTCAGTCTGGCCAGTTGTGGGGTGTGGGCTCCCCTGAGGAAGAGGAGGGACCCGGGGCGGGTTCTCTGCCCAGGCGATTCCGCAGGGGGCCAGGCCCCCACGTGCGGCGCTCCCTGCAGTGGGCCATGGCCCTTCCGTCCTGGAGGGGCTGGGACAGGGCCTCGAGTATGCACCACGGCGGGCAGGGCTCGCCTTAGACAGGGCGGTGACGGGGGTCCCCCGAGAGGGGCCATGAGCTGAGCTCTGAAGGAAGGGAAGGGGCCAGCCTTGGGAAGTGACGGAGTGTCCCAGGGAGGAAGCTGGCTGTGCTGGGACCCAGGACCCGACGGGCTGGGGACAGGATGCTGACGGGGGCCTCTCCGCGTGGGCCATGCTGTTATGGTGCCACAGGAGACAGCAGGGGGACAGGGACAGGACAGCCCCACCCTCGGAGCAGTCCCCCCGCCGTCCGTGCAGGGTGGGTCACAGGTGTACAAGAAGCAGGTGCGCAGCCCCGTGGGCAGCTGCGCTCGGAGGAGAAGGTGGACAGGAAGGACGTGGACAAAGACGTGGGAGAGCGTGTTGGGCCAGACGGGGTCGAGGGGTGGTGGCGGGGCTGAACGTGCAGGGCGAGGAAGGGGGCGGGTGGAGGGTGGGCTTTGGGTAATGGCTTGAGCGCCTGGGCGGTGCGTTTGCCGAGGTGGCCGCACCCCGGGAAGACGAGGTTTCCTCAGCAGCAACTAACGTCCCGCTCTGATAAGTTCCAGATGCCTGTTGAACAGTAGCCGGAGACGCTAAATAAGCAAGCAGTGGGGGGTTGGAGCTGGGAACCGAGGGATAAGGGGATGGGAGGGACACAGATTGGGGAGCCGTCAGTGCATGGATGGCATTTAAAGCCACAGGCTGGGCAGTGTGTTAAAGTGACACATGGGGGAAGTGTCTCAAGTGTCCTCACAAGCTGACAGCAAATGCCCAACCACACCGAGCCACTTAATAGAGAAGCAGAAAGCAACTTGCCCAGGCCCACCAACGACCCACATCTTATCTCCCAAACTGGCACAAGCAAAGCCCGGGTGACCCAGGGGGCCTGCGTGGCCTGGCTCCTAGTGACCTCTGGGCCAGTGTCCCACCCTCCTGCCCTCGGTGTGTGCGGACAGGCCTCTAGGGAGCTCCCTCGCCCTCCCGTGGCTGCCTGCAGAGACTTGCCTGGCTTTTACTGATTCTTTGTCTCTGGTCATACATCATCCGTGTTTATTATAAAAGAGCGTGAAAAGAAAATAAAGTCACCCTTGATCCTACTATGCCTTGAACTACCCACTGTGACACACGGATACTGTTTTCAGTCTTCTTTTCATTCTTTCTAGTTTTTCCCCACATGTACAAATTTATACTTCGACAGCTGACATCACATGCTGCTGGTTTCTGGAACTGCGATGTCCCGGTTAGGATCCACCGCAGGCCTCACGCCAACCCCAGGTCCTCACTGACGTGAACCACGCACACCCCGGCCGGTAAGAGCCTGCACATCCCACGTGTGACCCCCTTTAATCCTCACGTCCTCCTGCGAGGAAGCTCTGCCGTGAACCTGTCTCGCAAACAGGGAACTGGTGCTCAGAGGGCCACGCAGCATGTGGCAGCGCCCAGACTTGAACTCGGGCAGGGGAAATACAGAGCCCGTGCTCTCAGCCCCCACGATGCCACAACGTGGGGCTGTGCGGCGCCTTGCCGTGGCTGTGTCAGCATAAACCTATCTTCTCACAGAGTGGTCAATGGACAGTTAGATGATGCTGAGTTTTCCCTAATATAAATAATGCTGCAGTTAGCACCTTTTTTCCTAAAATGTGTGTGTGGGGGCGGGTGTATGAGCATATTGAGTATTTCATATTATTTAGGGTAGATTTCCAGAAGTAGAATTATTGAGTCGAATAATATAAAAACCTTAGAGTCTTTATATATATTACTAAATATATCCACAGACCAATATCTCTTATGAATACAGACGTAAAAATCCTCAATAAAATCCTAGCAAACTGAATTCAGCTGTTCATCAAAAAAAAAAAATCTATCATGACCAAGTAGGCTTCATCCCAGAGATGCAGGGATGGTTCAACATACACAAGTCTATAAAAGTGATTCACCACATAAATAGAAGTAAAAATAAAGACCATATGATCCTCTCAGTAGACACAGAAAAAGTATTTGACAAAATTCAGCACTCTTTTATGATGATAAGAACATTTAACAAAATAGGCTTACCTCAAAATGATAAAGTCATATCTGATAAACCCACAGCCAACATCATACTGAATGGGGAAAAATTGAAAGCATTTCTGCTTAGAACTGTAACCAGACAAGGTTGCCCTCTATCACCACTTCTATTCAACATAGTACTGGAAGTCCCAGCCAGAGCAATCAGACAAGAGAAGAAAATCAAGGGCATCCAAATGGGGGCAGAAGAGGTCAAACTATCACTCTTTGTTGACCATATGATCTTATATCTAGAAAACCCCAAAGATTTTTCCAAGAGACTAATGGAATTGATAAATAAGTTTAGCAAAGTCTCAGGTTACAAAATCAACATACACAAATCAGTAGCATTCCCATATACCAACAATAGTCAAACTAAGAACCAAATCAAATACTCAATACCTTTCAAAACAGCAACCAAGAAAATAAAATACCTAACAGTATATTTAACTAAGGAGGTGAAAGAGCTCTATAGGAAGAACTAAGAAACACTAAGGAAGGAAATAGCAGAGGATGTAAACAGATGGAAAACCATATCATGCTCATGGATTGGCAGAATCAACACTGTTAAAATGTCTATAATACCCAAAGTAATCTACAGATTCAATGCAATCTCTCTTAAAATGCCACCATCATTTTTCACAGATGTAGAAAAAATAATTCTATACTTCATATGGAACCAGAGAAGACCCTGTATAGCTACAGCAACCTTAAGCAAAAATAACAAATTGGGAGGTATCAATTTACCAGACTTTAAGCTATACTACAAGGCTATGGTAACCAAAACAGCATGGTACTGGCACAAGAACAGAGATACAGACCAATGGAACAGAAGTGAGAACTCAGATATAAAACCATCCTCTATTGCCATCTGATCTTTGACAAAGCAGACAAAAACATGCACTGGGGGAAAGAATAGTTATTCAATAAATGGTGCTGGGAAAATTGGATAGCCACATATAGAAGACTGAAACAGAATTCACATCTCTCACCACTCACAAAAATCAGCTCACAATGGATAACAGACTTAAACCTAAGGCATGAAGCCACAAGAATTATACAAGAAAATGTTGGAAAAATTCTTATAGACATTGGCCTAGGCAAAGAATTTATGAAGAAGACCCCCAAAGCAATCACAGTATCAACGAAAATAAATAAATAAATGGGACATGATCAAATTTAAAAGCTTCTGCACAGCCAAAGAAACTACCACTAGAGCAAATAGACAACCTACAGAATAGGAAAAAATATTTGCATGTTATACATCTGATAAAGGGCTGGTAACTAGAATCTATATAGAACTCAGGAAAATCAGCAAAAAAATTAAACAGTCCCATTAAAAAGTGGGCAAAGGACATGAATAGAAACTTTTCGAAAGAAAATAGACTAATAGCCAACAAACATATGAAAAAAATGCTCAATGTTTCTATTCATCAGGGAAATACAAATCAAAGTCACAATGAGATATCACTTAACTCTGGTGAGAACAGCTTTTATCAAATAGTGCCAAAACAGTAAATGTGGGAGTGGATGAGGAGAGATAGGAACACTCCTACACTGCTGGTAGGACTGCAAACTAGTTCAACCTCTACGGAAAGCAATATGGAGATACCTCAAAGAGCTACAAGTAGAACTACCATTTGATCCAGCAATTCCACTACTGGGCATCTACCCAAAGGAAAAAAAGACATTCTATAAAAACGACATCAGCACTAGAATGTTTATAGCAGCACAGTTCACAATTGCAAAGATGTGGAAACAACTCATCAATACATGAGTGGATTAATAAAATGTGGCATATGTGCACCACGGAGTTCTACTCAGCCACAACAAACAACGGTGATCTAGCACCTCTTGTATTACCCTGGATGGAGCTGGCGCCCATTCTACTAAGCGAAGTATCCCAAGAATGGAAAAACAAACACCACATGTACTCACCATCAAATTCGTACTAATGGAGCAACACAAATGTGTACACATAGAAGCAACATTCATAGGGCGTCGGGCAGGTTGGAGGGGGCGGAGGGGATGGGTAGAAACAAAAGGAGCCTTTGATTGTAGCAAATGGTCTCTTACCATGTGCTCTGTGCACCAGTCCCCACCACGCACCCTCTGCTGCGAGGGCCGCTCGCCTCCCTTCCCTTCCACTTGCCGGTTTGACCTGCACGGTCACCGCTTGGCGGCCAAGGCTAGAAAGGCTTTTTCTTTTGACCCCACTGATGGCCCTGCTCTCCATGGCTGCGTCTGACACCGCGCGATTCCAGGAGCATCGCAGCAGCACAGAGAGTGACGGTGATTCACTGGGCACATTCGTTTTCTTCCCCAGCAGACCACTGATTCAGAGCCAGGGACTTGGGCGGAGCTGAGCCCGTGCCCACCGCGCTGGGGGGTGTCAGCACCCTCTTGTTTGTGTCGGTGATGACTGGCTAAAGGACACAACTGAAAAGACTTGCGTGCTGCTCACGGCCTGGCCAGGCTTCACTCCACGGCGAGCCCCTCCTGGCAGCCGCCAGCCAGGCGCAGCGGGCGCGTGGTGAGAAGCTGGGGAGGCCGCGCCTGGCGCTTTGTTCCCTGGTTCATCTGCGGCCATGCCGCCGAGTCTGCGGCACACGTGTACGATGTTGCAGGTGCAGAAAGAGCTCTGCGAGCACTGGCTGTGGTGGCCTTACACTGGGTGGCACGTCCAGGGTGGACGGCAGGTAGGGCCCCCACTGGTCACTGCGGGGAATCAGGGCCCGGCCACAGGAATACTTTAAATGTGGACGCGTGGACTGGAGCTTAACTCGCAGTCACACTGCCGAGCTGGGGAGACGGCAGGCGACATGGTCACCTGGTGGTGCCGCCGTCGGAGCATGGCAAGGTCACGGGGAGGAAGGGAAAACCACAGCCACCACCGATCGGCCACTTATGCTCAGCCACCTCCAGTATCTTGATCTGAGTTTCTGTATTTATTATTTCCTTCCCGTCCACATAAACGCCATCTGCCTGACACAGCCACGGAACCCGCTAAATATGTTTGTGTAACATGAAAAATAATAACGGGTGTTGTGTATCAAGGGCTTACGCCACACACCAGGCCCGTCACGTGTGTTATCTTATGTAACCTCAGAAGCCCTCCCTGCTACCCCTGCGCAACTTGCACATCCCCCCCCCTCCCCGCCCAGAGCCCCGGATGCCCTCGTGCTCCTCGAGGCCCAGACTCACCATTTTTTTCAACCGGCACGTGGCAGCGAGGACAGGGCTTGGTGGTTTTCTTGATAGTTTCCTTGGAGGCCTCTTCCCAGCGAGCTTGCTCTGCGGCTCTTTCGTCCACTCTGTAGGCCTGGGCAAAACAGACAGAAAGAGTCTAGATTCAGATCTTTATTATTGGGATTGACGTTTAGGTTCCTTTGAAACACTGGCACAGGAAATTCTTCAAGACGGAAGTGCCTTTGGGCAAGAAGCCCAAATATCGGCGGCTCCCGTGGCAAGTGCTGGACAGCCACTGCAGAGAGGGGAGCACGGTGCTCCTAGTACGTGGCACACGCTGACCCGCCGGGAAAGGACAGCTCAGGGTACAGTGCGGAGGTTTCTATTCGTGTTTTGTGTGATTTTGATTAAGTGCCATCTATCAGGGACTTAGTGCGCAGACAAGGGGACCCATGCTGCCATGCACTGCTCATTAGACACGGCCTCAGGTGTGGAGCGAGAAGACTAGTTTTTATTTTGCATTGAGGACTAGACAAGTGAAACAGTGGCCCCGAGCTGGTAGGTAAGAGTGTTGGCGTGACCCCAGAATCTTTGCTTTTAAACTGTCCTCTACATCTTATCTTCCCTTCTTGCACCTGGAAGATGGGGAACTCCCAATGTCGTCACAGAAGGGACAGGAGCAGGAACAAGGAAATGAAGTTGATGTGACAGAAGGCACCCTACGGAGTCTTCGTACTCAGCCCCGAGGACTCCAGCTCAAGCCCTGGAGCTCGCGGCGCGGCGGGGCGGCGGCGTGCACACACCTGGAGGCGTTAGCACACGCTGCCGGGCTAAAAGCATTGTCAGCCGGTGAATTAAAACATGTGTCCTACAAACAACACTACGCTCAGTCCAAGACAAATATTCAGAGCTCAACTCCAAGAAACCTCATGCCTATCAACAGCGCATCCTTGGAGGGCAATTACAAACTGGAAAGTTGCAAATTTATATTACTATGCCTTGTTCTTTGAGGGAAGAAAGGAAAAAATGATGGCAAAGGAAGAGAAATAATCGTGTCTCAAAATGCCAGCTTCCTCTCACTTCTTTTCCGACCCCAGAGCACATGAAGCAGAGTGGGTGTGACGTGCAGCCCCAGCTGTTCCCGCACACGGTTGTGCGTCCACCACCTGCAGCAGCGAGGCCCCGGGCCAGCGCACGACAAGCTCACGACCCGGGCGGGTCCGGGAGGGGCTCACCGTGCAGCCACTGCACGCCAGCGCGGAGCAGGAACCGGATCAGCCGGTTAGCGCGAGGCAGCGGGGGCAGCCAAGAGGGTTTGAAACCTGGGATGAAAGTGGGAGAAGGAAGAAGCCAGAGCAGGGGTTCCCGATGCTGTCACCCGCGGGGACATGCTTCCTTCTCCTCTCCTCTGCAGACTCTGCAAAGCGCTGAATGTTACGCCCTCCCCCAGAGTCCGGTGTTGAAGTCCTCACCCCCATGTGATAGGGTCAGGACACGGGGACTTTGGGAGGTCACTAGGCCATGAGGCATTAGTGTCCTTATCCAAGTGACCCCAGAGCACTCTCTGGCCCCTTCCTTATGTGGGGACACGATGAGAAGCCAGCAGCCTACGACCCAGAAGAGGGGCCTCGCCGAGCCAGCAATGCTGGCGCCCTCATCTCAGGCCTTTCAGCCTCCAGAACGGCCAGAAATAAATGTTGGTTGTTTATAACGCCCCAGTCTCTGGAACTTGGTACAGCAGCCCCAGCTAAGACAGACTCCACGTTTTGAGAGTTTTGTGTATGAAACACAACACATTCTCCTTATTTTAAATGAATGCTGTTCTGTGGAAGGGCTGTATATATGAAGCAGCCGCCAAATGCCAAAGAGGCCACAGAAGGAGGCAGGCGAATCCAGCTGGAGGGTCCAGGGTGACTCATTAGAGGAACTTACAGACAGAAGCATGGTCCTGGGCGGACAGGCAGACGTCCAGACTCGGGTAAAGGTCATATCTTGGGGTAAAGGTCTACGTGCTCTGGTAAGAAGGAGCAGGTGGCTGAGACAATGCTGTGCGTGCCACAGCCTGGGATTTCTGCGCCAGGATCAAGGGTTCTTTGGGAGGACGGGTGAGACTCACAGCGGCTAGGTGTTCCTGCACGAGGAGTCACATGTCAACTGGACATTCTGGAGGCATTCCCAGGCTTGGGGTTAGTCAGAACGCACACGGTAGGTTGGCATCTAAAATAAGTCACTTTTGTTCCCACAGATGTACAGTTTCCTCAGTATTGCAGATACTGAAACCTTTATCTCTTGCTCTAGGGGCCAGAGGGGACCTGGAGCCTCAGGCTGGCCGGCCTGGCTGGGCTGGATGAGTGCACACCGCGGGCAGCAGTGCGGGGTTGACGGGGCCCTCAGCACCCCGTCCACAGAGAGCCCAAAGCAGCAAGCGCTCACCCGAGCAGACAAGGACGCCAAGGCCACACCCTCGTGGAGACGCCCGCATTTAAAGGTCAGAGACAAGAGGAGAAAACACTCCAAACCTTAGAAACAAAACAAGCGGTGACGGTGTGCAATGCTTTTCAGTACCGAGCTAGAGGAGTTTCTTTAAGCTGGCGGGACAGCCGGCCAGCTGTCTCGGGGAGGGGGTGGGGCGGGTCCACTCCGACCTGCACGTGTGAGGGCACGGTGGGTCGCAGCCTCATAAGGTGCGGATTTTTGGTCTGGTAGAGAATACGCGCCCAAACATTATGGTTTTATTTCCCCATAGGACGTGAGCCGGCTCTGCATATAACTTAGAAGTCGCATTTCGGGATTCCTCTCCCATGAACGACGTGGCAGCCTGTTCCTGAGGCGCGCAGGGAACCGGCTCTCCTGTCCTTTTGCCGGCTCTCCCGCTAAGTCGATGACTAAGACGTCAGCACAGGCCAACACCGTGTGTGTGGAAATCGCGCTGTCACAGCCGCAGGTGTCAGCGGGAGTGGTGGCCGGCTGGTCTGGGCCCCAGGTGCCCGGGAGGGGGCGGTTTGAAAAGACAGTGACAATGTCCTGTCCCCTCAGGAAGGGTGCTCTGTGGCAGAGGCTTCGCCCCGATCGTGCTGTTCGGTCACTGCAGCGTCCCTGAAAGGCAGGCCTTGTTAGCAACTGTTTTGGCTGGAGACAGCAGGGCTTCCCGAAACGAAACGCTCTGCCCACCCAAGGCCACACGGCCCGTGAGCGGCACATTCAGTATCCGAGCCCCAAGCCGGCGGAGCGAATGCCCCACGCTCCCGCGACTGCGGGGTATTTCTTTCATTGTAGTAACGCCACAGGCTCCAGAGAGGACAGAGGGGCTTAATGCCCCACATGACGCCATGGAGAACTGGAGGTCCCTGGTGACTTCCAAGAGAGGAGTTTTTATTCTTTTGAAATATTTTATATTCTCTTTTAGAGATGGGGTCTCTCACACTGTCCCCCAGGCTGGGGTGCAGTGTGGCCGTCATAGCTCACTGCACCCTTGAACTCCTGGGCTCAAGGGATCCTCCTGCCTCGGCCTCCCCACGAGCTGCGATTACAGGCGTGCCAGCACGCCTGGCTGGAGAGAGCAGTTGCAAAACAATTTTTGGCAAAAGAGTAATGGGAGAATCTGCCGCCCCTTCCCCCGGCCCCAGCCCAGGGGCCCCCACCCTCCTGCATCCTTCAACACGGCATCCTTCAACACGGCATCCTTCAACACGGCATCCTTCAACACGGCTCCACGCCTGGCCACGTGCCTGCTCTTCTGCTGCCGCCCGGCCGACTCTCCTTTCCCCCCGACCTGCCGAAACTGTTCTCGAGAAGGACATGAGTTGGCTCTGATTGCAAAGCCAACACCTTTTCTCTGTCTTCACCAGCACCAACTGCCCCGCTGCCCCTGACACTTGCAGGCTACTTTCTCCACGGCAGCACAGTCACCCAGAAGGCCGTCGGGAGTCCCCTGCCCCCTCCCTGGCACGGCAGTTATCCTTGTCACTTCCTACCGTCACCGGGTGGATCCACCGGGAGGAAAGGGCATGTCATGGCCCAGTCACTGCTGCCGGCCTGGCTGACCTCGGGGCTCAGGAGAAGCAGCTCTAGAACTGCCAGTGGCGACGATTTCAGACCTTTGACGGCCACTTCCTGGGGGGATTGTCTACCGAGATGAGCACATCTTTGTTTCGCATCCTTCGTGAATGTCTTAGTGCTGAAGTTCAGATCCTTCCGGAATGATCTCAAGCAGTGGCTGGGTGCCCACTGGTTCAGGATCACCCAAGGGATTTTTAAGTGACGTGGATTCTTGTGCTCACACCCCGGAGATTTGGATTCAGTAGGTCTGGGGTGGAACCCTTAACCACTTCGGTACAGTGATCACCGGCCGGGAAACCTTGCCCACAGCCGGCACTCACAGTCCGCACGGTGGTCTGCGCTGCGCATTGACGACGCGTCCGTCTTGCTCTTGTGTGATGAGGAAAGCTTGAAAGCACTGAAAGCTTGTTTCACTTTACAGGCAGCTTTCCTTGTAATGTAAATATCAGAATAGGTAACATATACATATATGTTTTCATTATGTTATTTTAAATGTTCACAATTTTATTTTGATAAATGAAAAATTAGAAAAGTCAGTTCAAAATTATAGACTAAGGTCGACGCTCGGCTGTGCGCCTTCGTATCTCGGCTGCCGGCTACAGTCGCTGTGCGCGTTCATCCGCGGCTGTCGACTGTAGTGGACGCTCGTACGGAAGTGGTTAAAAATGCCCCAGGGCCTGTGAGGTGCAGGAGGTGTGGGAGCCCTCCACCCCCTGGACGGCAAATCCCACTTGGGCCCGAAGAGGAAATTGGTTAGTTGGATAAACACGCCCTCCGTCAGGGCCTGAGTCATCCGGCTACAAAGCTGTCTCCGGCTTGTGGTGCCGGGAGGGGAAGGTCGTGTGACTCAGCACCATCGCCCTGCCACGCACTGGCGTGTGCTCACAGAGCGCAGAGTAACGGTTAGCTTAATTTTACGGAACTCTGTCCCCGCTTACTGCTTACCTACCACAGGAAGGAATAGTGTGTGCATGTATGTGTGCACGTGTGTGTGTGTGTGTGTGTGTGTGTGTGTATGTGAGAGCACATGCGAGACGGGAATGGAGATAGAATAGGACAAATCTCTCTTATGTATTTCATGGCTGAAAACAGCAACTTCCTGTACTATATATGTGTGTGTGTGTGTGTGTGTGTGTGTATACATACATAAACACAGAGTCAAAATTGCCTCTGCAAGCAAGCACAGCCTGATAGCCAATCTGTGGCTTAAGGAGGAATAATTGTTTTTGTTGAATATGGTGATGATTTCAAGTGAACGATGAGAGGTGTCTGCTCTGCGAGGAGTGGCTAAGAGCAGGGCTTTGCAGTTACCAGGCCTGGGTTTAAATCTTGCTGCATATAACCTAAACGCCCACTCGTCTGTCCAAGTGTGATAAATATAGCGCACACCTCACAAGGGTTGTTGTGAGTCAATAAATCAAAGAGCTTAGCGCAGAGCCTGGCGCACCCTGAGCACAAACGGCGTTTTCTATGGGCACAGTCTCTGCGCTTTTGCCGCAATCATCGTCATCATCTGTGGTTTACAGAGCTGGGAATATCAGATGATGGGAGCTTGTATAAACGGAAAAGGCTGCTGAAGGCCTGGATTGGCCTTAACTCTCCTTAGAAAATACAGGTAGGGCCGGGGGTGGTGGCGCACGCCTGTTATCCTAGCACTCTGGGAGGCTGAGGTGGGTGGATTGCTCAAGGTCAGGAGTCCAAAACCAACCTGAGGGAGACTCTGTCTCTACTAAAAATAGAAAGAAATTAATTGACCAACTAGAAATATATATACAAAAATGTAGCCGGGCATGGTGGCGCATGCCTGTAGTCCCAGCTACTCGGGAGGCTGAGGCTGTAGGATCACTTGAGCCCAGGAGTTTGAGGTTGCTGTGAGCTAGGCTGACGCCACGGCACTCACTCTAGCTTGGGCAACAGAGCGAGACTCTGTCTCAAAAAAATCCCAAAAAACCCCCCCAAAAACAAACAGGTAAACTGGAGTGTCCTCCGAGAGGTTTCATAACAAAACCGAACTGGTGCCTGGGAGACACGTTAACCTGTAGGTGAGCTGGAACGACCAGAGGGACTGCTTTAGGAAATATCTGTGACACTTGTTTAGCCAATAACCAGACAAGTATAGTCTAATCCTAAACGTCAATTTAAATCTATGTTCCAAAAAGCATCATCAGATGGCCATCGATCACTGAAAACATAGTTGGCTTACTTCGAACATGAATATTTTCAGATGAATGGCAGCTTTTAAATACCACCTTTCTCATCATAATTGAATGCTCAGTTCACACCTTGTTGTCACACAATTACTAGAACCTTCCTCCGTTGCTGGGCAGCACCCTTTCTGAACTGCAGTTGCGGGTGAACAGCAGGGCCCTAGAGCAGCCCGCCCCCTGCTGGTGAGCATGAAAACTGCATCACCTTTCAGGGACCTTGAGCTAATCCATAATGTTCCTTCTTGGTAAAGGGCATTTACAAAACTCGCTTTGTCGTTTTTTTTTTTACATGGAGGGGTGAGGGGAAACTTGCCCTTTCCCCCCGAAAGTTCACTGACAGATCAACTAACAATTAAGGCAGATTAACAAGAGGAAGGTTTATTTACCATGCGCATGGGGAGAAGCACAGAGTTGATTCCCCAAAATCCCAGTGGAATTCAGATATTTTTTTATACACACCGTTTAGAGGGGAGGGAAAAAGATGAGGATTGCAGGTAATTCTGTTTAGGGGCAAGGGAGGATGAATGGATGGGGGAAGCAGATTGACTTGTAAATGATTCTCTTAGCAAATTAAATTAACCTGAGCAAATTAAATTAACCTTAGAGGTAGGTATTATATTTAAACGATCTGGGCCAGTTGCATTCTTGATTCTCCTTCCTGCAATATACTGAGATAACAGGGAGAGGAAGGGAAGTCCATTGCTCCCTTTGATCTTTTGGTCAGTGGGTCAGTCTGGTTTATGCAGAGAGAGGAAAAGCCCCCTCCAATGCATTTTTAACCTGGAAAGGCCTGTAATTCAAAATACTCTTTATACAAAGTAGTCATATTTTGGGTGGAAATTTCCTGAGCTCCTTCACCCACAACATTGTTTTATTATTATCCCTTTTGGGGAATATATATATATAAACACACACTTATTTTATAAGTGTATCATTTTAAAGAAAGAAGTCATCAAAGTGCTGGGATTTTTGATGGAGTGTCTGGCCAAGGGCTCAGTGGGCTCCACAAGGCTAAACTCTCTCCACCAAGTCCGGATGTCCTGAGCTGTGCTTTAGAATGCAATTTAGAAGAGTATTTTTGATGATGATCACAACGGTGGTGATTTCTGCTGTTAGTGGAATGTGTACCGAGCGACACAGATCAGATCTTATACAGTCCCGCCCCCTGGGGCCTTAACTGCTCCATAAGGGGGAAGTGAAGTAAATGTCTATCAACCTATTTTGAGATTGATGGGAGAAATGCAACAACATAAATATTAAGTAGCAAGAGTATTAATAGGTACCCTTTACTGGGAATGTTTAAAGTGGTTTGTGTTCAACTATTGTCCTAAGTTGACAAATGGGGAGAATCTACACTGGAGCAAGAAAGATGAGCTAGCTTGTATTTTTGATAATGGATATCTCTAGTTCCTGGCCTGCTTAGGTCAGCAATGGCTAAAACTATGAACACTATGAACAGGATTCTGATTGTGGAAACATCACTAACAGGATGCAAGAGTAAGTTAAAGTGGAGAACAAGCTCGTGCTTTGTGTAAAGTGTAGCTACTCTAGTACAAAGCAGACTGTTATTTTTGCTAGATTGAATATAGAAACTTCTTTATCTGATAGGCCTTTGTTGGGTGACTAAGATGTGCCAGGCACTGTCCTAGACACTGCAGATACCCGAGCGAACAAAAGAGATGACAGACAAACGAACAATGCCTGCCTTGTGGTGCTTCCCTGCTGGCAGGAAGTGGCTGTCACACCAGCATGCCCTGGAGGCTTGCTAACATTCAGATTGCTGCAGATCCTCCCCCCTCAGTTTCTGAATCAGTAGGTCTGGCAGGGGGTGAGGGCCAAGAATTTGTGATTTAACAAGTTCTCAGGTGATGCTGATGCCACTGGCCTTGGACCCTTTGAGAACCACTGCTAGCAAAATGTCTGCATAAGCTTCGGTCAGCAAAAAGAGACAGAGGGATTTTCGGGGGTTCTAGTAAAAGTTGTGTCAAGTGTGTGTGTCTGGGCTCCCAGACTGATGTGCCCCCCCGGGGGAGGGGGTAGGGATGAGGGCACAGAACTGCCTTGCTGGGCTCCCACCGTGACGCGTTGGGCTCTGAGCTAGGCATCGTGCACATGCCCTTTCATCAAGTCCTCCCGACTTCACAGTATCATATTAGGGATGAGAAAACGTGGCTTTGAGAGAGCAGTAGAATTCATTCATGATGACCACAGCCGCGGCACCAGCCGTGGTTCTTCAGTGAAACAGAATCAATGGGGCATGTGTAATCTTCACACGTATAAAATACATGGGTTTATTCTAAGGAATTGGCTCAGGGGATGGTGAGGACTGACAAGCCCAAAATCTGTGGCCAGGGCAGGTGGACACTCGGGCAGGGCTCCTGTGTGGCAGTTTTCAGGCAGAATTCCTTCTCCTTAAACCTCGGTCTTTGCTCTTCAGAACCTCGACGGACTGGGCCCGAGCCCGCTCTGACAGGCCACCTCCTCTACGTCAGCCAACTACTGCGGATGCCAATCACATCGACAGAGTGTCTTCACAGCGGCGCCCGGACGAGTGTCCAACCTGGGCAACGCGGCCCGGCCACACTGGCACGCAGAATTAACCGTCACCGCTGGTCACGGGTGAGGCCCATTTTCAAGACAGTTCACGTCTTGTGACTCCACATCCGTTCTGCCTTGCCTGGGTTCCTCACAGGCTGAGAACAGCTGGTTCTTGCTGAAAGAAATCACACGCGGGCCCAGGGAGCAGCCACGGTGGGTTCGAGCGTGCCATACTCCGCGCTTGCGTTGACAGCTGCTCGTGTGACAGGGAGCCGTGGACTAGAGTGGGTGAGCCATTCTCCTCCTCGCGACCGTTTGCACAACAAGCCCTTCTGTGCAGCGACGATATTTTGTCCGACCCACCCCCACCTCCACTTTTAACCTGTGGACGAGTGAAGGGTTGAGGGGAGCCCAGGCTCGCCTCTTGGCTTTGCACACCTGAGCGCCTCTCAGAAAGGCTGCTCCCGGGGACACGGCTCTGCGGTTCCTTCGCCCCTTTTGTTGGCGGCACTGCCGTGTGGAGGTGGCCGGGGAGCCTTGGGAAGCGGCGTTCGTTTTTTTTTTCCCTGGGCCATTTCATTTCTGTTTCTCGCAAAACACAGCCTCTCCCTTAAGGGGCTGGCGCCACCTGGCGCACGAGAGGCGCCTTGCCGCCGCTCCCCTGCCCTGCCCGCGGCAGAGCGCCGCCAGGCCGCCGCCTTTGCCGGAGAGCAAACAAGTCCCGTGGGGCTGTGCGCGCCGTGCGGTGTCGTGTGCGTGTGATGTGTGCAGGTGTGTGCTGTGTGTGGCGTGTGGTGTACATGTGCTGTGTTACGTTTGTGTGCGTGGTGTGTGTGTGTGGTGTGTGTGTGTGGTGTGTGGGATGTGTGATGTCATTGCTGTGTGATATGTGTGTTACACATGTGTGTGGTGTGTAGTGTGATCAGTTTCTATAAAAATAATTTCCATCTTACTGAGTCGTTCAAACGGCTTGTTTGAGAAGTCGAGTCTACAGGGGATAGATGTGAGAATTCAGGTGAGGAATGTATATGTAGATTTTTTTAGCGATTCTACCGGGATCCTAAAACCCCTCTGGAATCCCGAAGCCCCCAGCCGGGCTGCAGAGGATGGGGGCTCTGTGCAGGCGTGGATGGAGGGCTGCGCTCTGGGCATCCCCCCGCCCCCCGCAGGCTGTGGCCCTCGGGCGACACGGAGCGGGAGGGACTCCTGAGCTGCCGAGGCACCTGCAGAGGGAGGAAGCCCGGTGAGAGAGAAGCTGATGCCAGTGAGAAGAAGATTCTGGAAGTGCCTGCGTCTGTGTGGTAAGGCTCTGCCTCCGTGGGTACGTGTGACATGTCAGTGTGTGTGAGTGTGTGTGTGTGCACGCGTGTGCAAGCATGCCTTCGTGTGTCTTCCCATCTTATCTTTCGTTTCCTCTCTCTACAGTGCCTGGCACTGAGCGTTCAGTTTTAAAGAACCCAAGCCCCAAGTTTCACCATGTGCACCGTACAACTCAGCAGCTGCTCCACGCACAGTCTCACGGCATTATTTACACTGAGCCCCACGGGGCAGGTGAGGAAAGAGGGGATACGCATTTGAGTGAAGTGCTTGGAAGGAGGCAACCAAACCGGCTCTGTTGCCCATCAGCCCAGGGCCATTCTGCTCCGCAGAGCAAACCCTGGCAGAGGCTAAGCGCTCTGGAAGCGCAGCGCAGGGCCTGGGCTGTCCTCGCCAGCGCGTCCGAGACTGACGCACTCGCCTCAACGCAGACCTATCGGAGCCACCTCTCCTGTCTGCACAGCCGCTGAGACTGCGTGCCCAGAGCCAAGGATGCACGAGAAGTGGCCTCAATAAAGCTGTTTTACTTCAACCAACAGGCCCTTCAGGAAATGCGCTGGGCATCTGGATCCCAGGAACAGTGAATTCACCCGTGTCCCAGCTCCAGGACCGCCCTTTGTGTCACGAATGGCGAGAGACAGCTCTGCCGTGAGACACAGGAAGTGCACCACAGGCCCCAGTGGCTCCGCCGTCTCACTCTCCCCCGGAGGGGGAGGCCACCTCCTGGCCCGGCCGCCGCCTGCACATCTGTCGGGGATTATTCACCTCGGCTCTCCGTGGCTGGCTGCGGCCCGAGGTGGTCTACGCATCCTTCCCTTGGCCACACGCCTCTGCTGAGAAGTCCACAGCGAACAACCTGCTTCTGTCTCCATGTTTCCTCTTCCAGAGAATGGCACCACCATCGCCCCAGGTTAGAAATTCGAGCATGGCTGTTGGCGGGTCACCTCGTCTCGCCCTGTCCTCTAGTTGATTGCCAAGGTGTGCGCATCCCACCTGAACCCCTCTGCTCCTCCCCGGCCCTCTAGCCTTGGCTCTTGGAGTCCACGCTCTGGGGCATCCCCCCCACCCCACTGCACCTGGGGCGAGGGCTGGCTTTCCTCACCCGCTGGGAGCACTGGCTTTGTGGGCTCAGGTGAGCCGCACCCCAGGATCTGCCCTCTGTCAAAGAGCGCTGCCTCCCCCGGGTCACACCCACGGGTGCAGGTGGGGCGACTCTCACCCAGTGGAGACAATGGATGCTGAGGGCCCGCCTCCAGCCCCTCGCCCGGGCTCCCTTCACGTGCTGCGGTGCAGCTTCCCTCCCCTGTGCCGCTTCCTGCTCCTCCTTAAGGGCTGTTCCTGAGAGGGACACCTCCCTTGTGCAGGTCTCAGGCTGTTTCCATGGGAACCTGACCTATGCCAGTCAGTACCTGGATGGTCCTGCCAGTTGCCGAAGACGAGCCCGTGGCTGGCGGGAGACAAGCACTGGAGGCTCTGGGTGGCGAGGGGCGACGGGCAGAGCGCAGGGCCAGGCTGTGCTGGGAGCCGCCCGTCTCCAGGCTGTGCACATGGGCAGACCCTATGGTTTCCAGGTGTCTGTGGTGAGAAAAGGGGCCACAGGGGAGCTTACTGCAAGCCTGTAAGAGAATCCCGATAAAGGTCTCTAGGGCCCCGCAGCGGAGAATGATGCACCATTTGGAAGGGGGCCCCTGGCGTGTGCCGAGCCCTGCGGAGCTGGAGCGTCTGAGCAGCGACCCACGCAAAGATGGAACGGGGTGGCCGGGACCAGGCCACGCAGAACCACAGGCAGCAGTTAACCTCGCAGGCAGGGGCCGAGACCCCCTGTTACCCACACGTGGCCCTGCTCCCTCTCCCGGGCTCACAACCATGGCCCCGGTGGTGGTGGCAGGGCTGGGGGAATCCAAGCTTGGCTCACAACTGACTTGCCTGGCATGCAAATGCAGCCCAAAGTGGATGCTTGTATAGTGGAAGCTTCTTTAAGGTAAAGAGAGAGAGGTGAGCGGAAGTCCTCTCAATGGGCAGGGCTTTGGGCAATGCAAACTCCCCCCCGCCCCCACTCAGTGCATATGTTGAAGCCTAATCACCAAGGCGACGGTGTTGGGGGCTGATTCTGGTGTGATGCCTTATACTAATCACTCACTAGAGCCTGTGATGTCCGTGTGCTGCCTGACGCAGCGGTAGTCAGCATGTTCTTCAGACTCAGTCGCTGCCTTGTGACTCGATAAGAGGCCTGAGTTGTTGCACATAAGCAAATGCTCCCAACTCCCACACGGAGGCCCCCGTGGTGGGAGTCTGGAGGCCGTGAGAACAAGAACAAGAAGAACTCTCCCAAGAACTGGCCCCCGATTGATGGTTGGTAGTCAATGACGGGTAAGACTCCCCATGGAGGGGGGCGACCCAAGACAGGCATAACCGTGGGGGGCCAGGGAGGAGCCGCCGCCTGGGATTGAGACCAAGAAGCACTTCAAATGGCTGCATTGTTTTATGTTGCCTGTCTCGGCCTTGGCTTTTGAGCTCTGTCCGGCACCTTAACTTTAGTAACTGGTTGAGGTCTGGGACCGTGGGAAATTGTTCCCTTTTGAAACAACTCTGGAATTGACTGATATCGCAGCTATGCTCAGATGCTCACGTACAAGGAAATAACCATGGATCTGGGGGATATAAAAATAAAGCGACCGGTGCATTGGTCACTTGAGTCATTGTCATGTCCATGTGCATCTGTGTTGTTATTTTATGTTCTGTGTCATCCCCTGTCCTGTAATCGGGCCACGTTAGGGAGGAGGGGTCTTTGGGAAGCGATGAGGTCAGCAAGCTTCCAGCTACAGTGGCCGTGTGGTCACTTTACGTTCCATTGCTGAGTGACCAGCAGGCAAGGAAAGGCGTCTCCATCCTGGACGGGTGACTGGGTGTCGGGAGGAGCTGGGGCCGCAGGTATACAGTGGAGTATATAAACGGGAAGAGGACATTTGGCCCCCGGGAGATCACTGTGGCGTCTCTCGGTTCTCCTTTAATGCCGCACACCGTGCTGAACTCCAGCCGCCTCCGCGTGAATTCTGGGGCCCTTCATTTGTGGGGCTCTGCCTCCCTCTCCAGCGGGGCCTGCCGTCCCTCTACCTTCACTTTCCGCCACCGTCGAGGGGCTTCTTTCACTTCGCCGCCGAGCACGCCGCCGTTCTCTTTCGTCTCCGGCACTCCGCACCGTGTCTGTTTGCCTGGACTCCCTGGAGCCCCTCCCTGCCGGACAGGTCATCCTTTTAGGTCTCCAATCGCACTTCTTCCAATGAACGGCTCCTCGAACCTCCTAGAGGACGGGTTGCGTGTGATTTTCATGCTTCTGTAGCACCCTGAACGTCCTCTCTTGTGCCTCTTCATGTACAGTATTTTAATCACTGGGCAAATTGTTTTTCTACTTCACTAGATTATAAACCTTGTGGGATCAGAGGCCAGGCCTATCTTTAATGCTGTTGCTCCAAAACGCAGAGCACTGTGCGTGGCACATGATAGGTGCTTTACAAATGTTTACTGAATATCCTTCTTTTTCCTTCTTTCCATTGATTATAAGAAATTAAGGTGCAGCTAAACGGAGGGTCAAAGTCACATAATGTAGGGGTGTAACACAAAGGGTACAGCCAAAATTCTACCTATAGATGAATTTAAAATGAAAAGAATTAATTTTCAACATTTAAAAATAGGGATATTTAACACAAACATATAGTTTCAAGCTACTGAAATATCCAAAGACTCAAAGTGGAAGGGCCGGGTGCCAGCGGGCCCGGCCCTGCGCAGTGAGCACTGGCGGGAGCCCTGCAGGCTGCACTCAGCCACGGCCGTGCCCCTGGGCTTTTGCTCTGACGCATGTTTGTTGTTCTGTGTGTTTTAATAGGAAAGGCAGAGGAAAAGTGATACAAATCTTTCCACCCTTATCAAAACATTGGGAGGTCCATGCGTTTAATCAGGCCTGTTTTACTCACGTGAGAGTCTGGTTGCTGTCAATGTCCGCTTTGGCCATCCCGGGTATGGGAGAGCCAGAACCGACCCACTCATCTCCCTCTCTCAAAAGGCAGAGAGACCAGCAAGGACAGTGGAAATGCCACATTGCTGCGTCACCGGGGCTGGAGTGTCATCGCCCTGGCTGGAGCAGCTCCCAAGGACCTGGGTGAAACGGCAATCTGGTGCCTGTCAGCTGGGGCCGCTCTCCCTCCCTGCACCTTGCCGATGAGCAACGTCCATCACAAAGAGTTGAGATGAGGCTCAGAGTAAGACGGTGTCTGTGAAAATGCTTTATAAGCAGGTACCATGCAAGTATACATTATTATTTTTATACCACGCAAAATGGTGGCTTTGTTTTTTCAATTTTTAGAAGGCAGAGGGAACCGAGGTCAACCGTGGGAATCTTACTTTCTCTAACGATTCACAAGATTACTGAGACAAAAGCCAGCCCCAAAGCTGCGGCCTGCCCTGGAGAGTCTTTTCCCAGCTTCACGGGGAGGAGGGAGGTTTATGGGTTGAAGGAGGGAGTTGTCATTTATTCAACAAACTTTTAATGAGTGTCTAATGTGTGCCAGGACTGGGGCCTATAAAGATTCAACAGGTACACACTGTACTAACTCAGCCCAGACTTTTAGTGGAGAGACAGGGAAACAATATTTCAGTGTGATGAATGTATAATAGAAGCATGTGCAGTTGTCTGAAAGTTTAGAAGAAAGAGTTGGGCTTTAATGGAGGAGGTGACACATAATCCTGGTCTTGAAGGGTGAGTAGAAGCTTGTAGGCAGGACTGGGCACATTCCCCTTAGAAGCTATAGATATGTTAATTAGAGAGAGTAATTAGAGAGAGCAAACTACTGTTCCCAAACTACTTAAGTCAGGTATAGAAACTGAAATTGACTTCCTTTGTGGCTTTATAGCACCATTAAAAATCTGGAAGACTCAGCTGGGCACAGTGGCTCACACCCGTAATGCTAGCACTTTGGGAGGCCGAAGTGAAAGGATTGCTTGAAGCCAGGAGCTCAAGACCAGCCTGGGCAATATAGCAAGACTATGTCTTTAAAAATAAATTAGCCAGGCATGGTGGCACATGCCTGTAGTCCCAGCTACTCTGGAGGCTGAGGCAGGAGGATTGCTTGAGCCTGGGAGTTCAAGGATGCTGTGAGCTAGGCTGCACTACTGTACTCCAGGCTGGGCAACAGAGCGAGAGTCTGTCTCAAACCACCCCCCTCAACACACACAAACCCTGGAAGTCTCAGCCTACCTTCCTGTCACTTAGGGAGAGTAACATCAACTACTCAGGACCACTGGGAAAAACGAATCAATTTATGTGGTTTGCCAGAGCAAGTGCATTGTTTTTAGAAAACCCCAGAGGATGATGTTGCAGGAACTCTAACTTAGGAGGAGAATGGACAGGCCAGCACACGGGACAGTGAATGGGGTCAGACCTTCATGGGCCTGTGACAAACCAATCTTCTGTCACCGCTTCCCCCCACTCCCGGCAGTTTCAATTTAAAACTTGTTCGACATTCTAAAACCAATTTTGGAGTTTGCTATTTTTTTAAAAAAAATGTATTGCATTAATCAAAAAATGCATTAAGTTTTGGGTCAAGTGGCCTAACTGCTAGGAAAGGCTGACTGGGACGCGGGGGAAATGGGCTTGTCTGGCTGGAGAGGGAGATATCAAAGAGCAGAAACCAATCCGCTCTGAAAGGAAGAACAGGGAACAGTAGTCACAATGGCTAACAGCAAAAAACCCTTGCACGTGCACTGAATTGAAAGGAAACTGTGAAGATGGCTAATGAGGGTATTTTGTTCGTGTTAGCAAAATCTAGACATGAGGATGCATCTAGAGCCTCGGTTCCAAGGGAGCTGCAATTAGATTTTATGGTTCGATGTGGATGGTATCGTCCTTTCGAAGATTTCAGGCCAGTGAAATTGCAGAGGTCATCCTCCCGGATCACTGCCCTTTGAGAGAAATGTAGGAAACAGAAAATATGCCGGATCTGTTGCAATAAAAACCCTTCATTCTATTATCAAATGGAACTGGGGGTCTTGCAATTTTATGAAATAGCTTGTTTGGTTCATCCCTTTCCATGTCCAAGAGTAGCTGTGGTTGAAATAAGGAAACTTGAAGGTTGGTAAATTAGCCCACAGAGAATGTGCAGGCCATTCTGCATTCTCTCCCCCTCTGCCCTGCGTGGGGAAGGCCGACTGCCCGGGCTATGTCCCTAGGCTCCCCTGGGGCTGCCTTCGGCTGGGTGTGGCCAATGGGAGCTGTTAGGGACCGACCTTCCACAGCCCCACCGGACAGAAAAGCAGAGACATCGAGGATGCAATCACACAAGAGGAGGTTTATTTTCTGGCTAGCCAGGGTCCAAGCCCCAGAGCACCAACGCAGTGGCCACTCTCGCAGGCAAGGACCCTGACCGGGGTTGCAGCGTGCCTTTTATCCCTATGGTGCATACGCTATGCATTGGAGATCACGCGTGGATCATGCATTGACCTTTAACATGATTGATTGGCTGGTAGCCCCACTATACAGGGGTTCAAACAATGCAAAGTTGGCGCAAGCAAGCAAGCAACAGTTTCCATGGCGCAGGCAAGCAACCAATGACCAGAAGCAAAAGTTTGCGGTTAGCTCATTGCCCCACCCAAGTAAATTCCTGACAATTGGAAAAATTCCTCTGCCCTACAAATTCCTCTGCCCTTCCTTTGCCCTACAGAGCCAGAGATGAGAAGTGGGAGAGAGAGGTCAGGGTGTCGGGTGTGCCCTGCCTGCTGGGCCCGTTTCTTGGGGCGCTGCCTTCCTTGCTCACACTCCCATCCCAAGGCCCCTCCTCCATGCTCCAGCTCTGGCCTCGCAACCCACTTCCTCCTCCTGGCCCTGCGGGCAGGGAGGTCACTCTCCCCAGATGCTAGACTCCGAGGTACCCTCCACCTGTGCGTGGTTCTTGTGAACCCACCCCATCTCCACGGGTCACCCCTTCTGTTAAACTCTCTGCACGTGCCCATCTGGGCAGGCCTCTTTCCTGTGGACCCGGATTGAATCGGAGACTTAGGAAAAAATGGCAGCAAAGAACCCAAGTGCTTGCCTTCTGCTCTGCAGCAATGGGTGAGCACCAGACTTTTCTTTTCCCATCTGGTTGGCGGTTTGCTTTGTTGTCTGGTCAGAGGGCCGGGAGGCGGGGCCTGGCTCAGGAGCCAGAGCGGGAGGCTCACCGCAGGCCGCTGTGCCCGGAGTGCTCTCTGGGATGGCCCCGGCCTGGGCCAACCCACAGGTCTCCAGAACCCCTACCGGACAGTTTGTCCGAAGTAACCAAAACTCCACAAAAGCACAGACTAATCTTGCTCTTTCCCCTAAGTGCCTAGAACAAAGCTGGACATACCACAGGTGTTTGATACACATTTGCTGAGTGGGTGAAATACTGTCCCTTCTTTATAGCTGCTGCCATCACTCAGCACACATCTACTAAATGTCAGAGGACCAGACTCTGCCCTGGGTCTGGCGACACGGGCAGGGGGAGAACAGGGCGTCGAAGGGACCCTGGCCTCCGTGCCCCTGTCCTGCGGCCCTCTGCTGCAGCCCAGCTCTCCGCAGCCTGTGACCCATCTCTGTGACTTTCTGGGGACGCGTTGTATGAGGTCACGTGATTGCTACACTTTGGTGCAGTATATTACTGTAATGATGTGTGTTTTCCCTGCAAATCTCCCCCAGGGCTCCCCCACGAGCCCCTGGAAGGAAACACACGCATCGACACAGTTTTCCAGAGGGTCTAGCAGGCTGCTCCACCTGCACAGATGCCCAGTTTAACCTTTGCTTGTTGATGTCTGCAGACAGTTCCCTTGATAATGGTGATCTATGCTTAAAGGCAGCTCTAAATTTCTTTTTCCCATTTTTCTGAGTTGAATAAGGTTTTAATGACTTTTTTTTTTTTTTTTTTGTGCTACCTCACTGTTCAGCACCAAGGTTCCCTGGTCCCCCTTTCAGTGCAGAATGAATGGAGGGTCAGGGACCTGGACAGCTGCAGCTTGAGTGACACTCTTCTCCCCCCACTGTAGGTCTGGAGTGCTGTCACGTGCAAGGAAGCCTTTGTCCCTGTCTGTCACGTGGCTGCAAACTGCTAGACTCTCTCCCTTCCCCAGAGCCTCAGGCTTGCCCTCCCCTGCGACGGTGATCCCGGAACAGGGGGTCGCAGGGCCATTATTGCTCCCGCTGTCAGTGCCCCATGAGCTCGTGTTTGAATGTCCCTGAGCTAAAATAAAATCAGCAGAAAGGGCGTGTGCTGCTGCCTCTGCTGTGGAAATGGCAGCTCTGTCCTGAATCTCCAATGCGCGCATGGCCCACAATGCAGCAGCCGATGAGGAGAGCCGAACTCGCCAGTTACATTTATTTATTATTTAGTTACGCTGATATCGGACAAACACGTCTGCAGAATACCACACGGGGTTATACTTCTGCACGCTCCGATTTTAGAGCAGTCAGATCTTTAAAATTCTCTACTGTAAAATTAAAATTTTCTGGGATTTCTATGTCTATTTACTAGGTTCCTATGAATAAAATGACTGAAAGATTTATCTGCATAGATTTGGTGTTGGAAACCTTGTTGACGTCTATATCAGGAGGAAAATAATGAGAAAATTCATCAATGGTGTTGAAGTTTTTACTTGTCTCCCTTAAGGTTTACTTGATAATAATTAATAAATAAAAGAAGATGTATTTGCATTTCCCTAAGCCTCAGATTGCACCTCAGAGGGTAGGGCTCGGTAAACACGTTCTTTACTTAATCAGGAATGAAATACAATCTAGCACAGTGCATGATATTGCTAAAACACAATGATACCTTTGCATAATACAATGCTTCTATACATGTCATTCATGGGGAGGGTTCTCACCAAAGATTCTAAACAAAGGCATTAAAAAAATAAAAAGTGGGATCAGTATTGCTTTCTCTCATTTAGAGGCTGTTAAATTGTTTTTATCTCCCTCTAAAGCCTCCTCTGGCCACGCTGCTGTGCCTTGCCCCTGTTCCTCGTTCGCCAGGGGAAACAGCACCATGGAAGCTTTGGCACACGTCACCTGGCCACCGGGAAGCCCACGCTCTCCCCTGAGGCGGGGAGCCCCATTCCCATGGCCCTAGGCTACCTGTCTGCCGCTTGCTTTCTCAGAGTGCAAGTCTCAGTGACCTCCGGGAAGCAGGCTGGGCCCCCGCAGGTGTTCTGAGCCCTGCTCTGAGGACCCAGTGCGCGTTCCCTACCTGAGCCGCCGCTCCCGAGGCTGCAAACAGGGCGCTGCACTCCCCATCGTGGTACGCTTCCTTACACTCCCGGCAAAAGACAAGCTGCAAAAGAACACGCGTCTGTTAATTAGGGACATTAGACTGCATTCGGCCGTAACATGCTTCTCCTCTTCCAAACTCATTATATTCATTCCTCTGACCTGCGTGAGGGTTTCCATGTCAAATTACTTTTTGCAAAGAGAAATCAAGTTATATTTTAATGAGACTGTTCCCTCTTTAAAGAATGTTCCAAGCACGGCAGCGGGGTTACAAAGATGAATGACGAATCACATTTCCTTTCTTCCAGGTGTTTCCAGTCTTGCAGAAGAGACAGTAATGCAAATAAATACCCATGGCAAGTATTATTGGTGTTGGAAAACGAGGAAAACAACTTCAAGAATTTTACATTATATATTTGTTTACATATATAAAAGATTTGTATGTCCATGTCAATGGACTTGGTTTTGTATTGAAAGTCTATTTTTTTTTTTTTTTTGAAAGCCTACGATAGAAAGAAGAAACGGGCCGTTAGGGACTGAATCATGCCTCTCTCCTTTCTCCCACTCCCAGCCCAATTTATACGTCGAAGCCCTAATACTCAGTACCTAAGAGGGTGCCTGTGTTTGGAGTCAGGGCCTTTAAAGCAGTAAGGTAAACTGAGGTTGTTGAGGTAGGCCTTATCCAGTCTGAATGGCATCCTTGAAAGAAGGGGAGATTCGGACACAGAATCACGGACTGAGGGAGGACCAGGTGAGGACACAGCGAGGAGGTGGCCACCTGCAAGCCCAGGAGAGAGGCCCTGGGAGAAACCGAACCTGCCCACACCCTGATCTTGGACTTCCGGCCTCCAGGATTGTGAGAAAATGAACATCTGCTGTTCGAGCTGCCCGGGCTGTGGTCGTTGGCTGCGGCAGCCCCAGGAGCTAACACGTGGGCTCCTGTGGGTCTCCTCCCTGGGTGCTGGCCTCCTTTCCACACTCGTGTGCCACGGAAACGAGGACACCCAAGGGGTCACCTGTCCTCCACCTTTCATCTTACAAAGGAAAAAGCTGGAAAAGTGAATGCCAGCTAGAGTTGTTCAAGGCTGTCTGTCTGGAATCACCGCCACCCTCCAGAAAGTACTTCGCATTTTTTTCATCGTCACCAGCCCTGCTCCAGAGGTTGCTGTAGTGGCTCAGGGTGTGGGTCCATGTTATGACATACTGGATTGGAGTCATTGTCCCATCGCCTGCTACCTGAAACACCTTGTGAGAGCCACTTTGGTTTCTGTGCCTTGGTTTCCCCCTCTGAGAAACCAGGATAACAATGATAACTGTGTCGTAGGACATTGTGAGGGGCTGGCAGGACGATATAGACACAGGGGCTACAACCACGCCTGGCATACTAAGTGTTCCTAACTTTGAGGAGATGAAGCCAGCCTGAGACGACTTTTTCCCTACTTCATTGCACAGCTGAGCAAAGAGTTTCTTTGCTAGAAAACTGGTTGCCTTCGATGCACATTTCTTTAACTAGTTAGGGGGCAACAGCTCCCAGGGCAGAAACTGTATTCAGAGAAAGTGTCTCAGCAGAGAAGAGAGTGCCACCGGCCGAGTATGGCGTGTGGGTGAAGCTGGTGGGGCACAGACACACGATGGCAGGATGCGCTTCCCACCGAGGGGTGGGCTTTCTGGCTCTCCTGCTGAGATCCAGATGTGGTGACTGCTTGACCATTACAACGTGGTGGAAATGATGGTGTGCCACTCTCTGGGCCCAGGCCTTAAGAAACGGGTGGCTTCCATTTCCTGTTGGGATGCTTGCTCTTAAAGCCCAGCCGCCATGTGGTGAGGAAGCCCAATGGCCCATGGAGAGGCCCACGAGGAGAGGAGCCTCAGCCTCAGCCTCAACAACAACCCTGGCTGTGTCTTTAGTACACAGCCAGCGCCACCAACCTGCCAGGTACTCGGCTGGGCCATATTACAAATGGATTGTTGTTGTTCTAAACCACTAAGTTTTGAGGTGGTTTTTACACAGCAATAAATAACCGATACAGGAATGACACTGAGTCTGGAAGGCTCAAAAGCTTTTCGGAGGCCAAGTTCTCAAGCTAACATTCTATAGCAGAAGCCAGGAATTTAGCTCAGTTTCACTTAAGACAAGACTGATTTGAACTGAAAAACAAAAATAAACAGGATATAAAACCAACCCTACCCCAAAATATATCACCATTTCCTTCTTGCCTCAAAAAGATCAGCCTACCCAACACCATTTTTCCTTCATGTTGTGTTGTCTCCACCCTGTGAACAGACTTCTCTCCTTCCCTATGTCCAACTTCTTGTTTTAATAACTCATCTGAAAAATATTTTAACCTCAGGAAACAATAAACAGAAAAAGAAAGCATTTTATAAGGAAATGGACTCTTCTACAGAGAAGCCACAATTGATCTTCGAGCCATCAGTTTTGGCATATTATATTCTTATTTCTTCTTGCAGTAAGGAGAATGAACTCAAATTTTGTGGAACAGAAACTTCATTTAGAGGTGCAGGTTGGTGGGAGAGATGTGAGAGCCAGGATGTCCTTACACAAATCACGGACAGCAACCAGGTTTCAGTTTCTGACATTTTGTTCTCTCTGAACCGAAAGCTCAATCCAGTGAATAGTGAGTTTGGTCCTAGGGTTTCCTCTTATGTTTTTTTTCTTTCTTAAATGTATCTGCTAATCTCTGGCACTGCCTCGGACCCCTCACTCTGCTCTTACATGCTCTGTTGGAAAAATGCGAACACGAGGCCCAATCATGGAGAACTGGTGATAGGATCCCACCTACTGCTTTGCAGAGAAGCAAGTCTGATCTCTCGGCGTGACGGGGAAAACCATTCACATCTTATTAGCTAGTGGATGAGATATAAAATCAGTTTCATGGTAGAGGAACACCCTGGAGCTTGATCAGTTTGTCAGAATAAATAGGCCTTTCCTGACACAAAGACATTAAATTCCCTTTCACACCGGTACTACAGAGAATGGACTACAAAGAAATAACGGAAAGGAAGAGCACATAAAAACCTTCAGGGCTCACTCCTTCAGTCCGGCAGAAGGCGAGCAAACGCTGCAGGAGTAGCTGCTGATGACCTGGCATCAACGCACCTGTCCATCTGCTTCTATTCAGAGAGTGTAATTTACATTTAGATATATCATGCAGCAGGTCCTTCCCGGGTAAAGAACATGAATGTGTCACAGACAAAATGGGAAAGTATGTAGAAGGCCTGATTTGATCTTGAAAATGTTTGGGTTTTTAATTACATTATCCGGAACTCAAGACTCAGGTGCTTGTACAAAACCTCAGTCCCCAAACTCTGCACCCAGGTGCCCCGGGGTGCGGCCACAAACTCACGGGGTGCACTGGGATTTCACAATTTTGAGGAAAACACAGAGATACTCAACATCTGTTAGCCACATGTGCACATGATTTACTAACTCAGGTAGTTAACCCAGTGTTAAGGTGGACTGTGCTACTTTCCTTTCTGTGACATATCTTTGTAAGCCTGAGTTTTCGGAAGTTACTGTGATATAAAATAAGCATGGTGTATGCGTCTACTTGGAACAAAGAGATGATTATTTAAGAATAAAATGAAAATATACATATTTTTAATTTATGTGAACAAATTTTTCAGATGCCTATTAAAAGTTGTGAAAATATTAATTCTTGTCGTGCCATTTGTTTAATAACCAGAACTGTTAGGCATTTCTTTTGGCCTAGAAATGCCATGAAAATGTACGGAGCTGATAAGGGTATGGTGAACAAAGGAAGTCTGGAGAACTCTGGCTTAGGCAGGTACAGAACTCCTTGAGAGAAAGTTTCAGGCCAGTTTGCAAACATTCCCTTTGTTACAGACATTTCTGGAGGGCGAGAACTCGGGGAAGAAGACAAACGCAGTTCTAAATTTTCACATTCACTTCCTCCACATGCATGTCTCCTGTCTGTGGCCCCTGGGTCTTTCTTTAACCAACTGTGTGGAAGGCTGGAATTTACCCAGGGATTTGCTGTTACCTAATCACAGCCTCACAGTTGCCGAGGCTCCTTTTAGGATGCATAATACTTCTCCAAACCTTCACTAAACATTATCTGAATGGAAGTTAGTATACCAGGAAATGTATAGAATACATTTATATAGTATTAATATATCTTTCTTGGATTATCTTCTCTTGGGATAGATCTGACAAATGCCACCCATTTCCATAGTTTTTTTTTTTAAAGCATTTTTCAATGTTTTGAAAAAAAATTATAAATATAATATATACTTACTTTATTTGTTCTCTAACCTCTCTTCCCTTACTGGATATGATTAGAAAGCAGTCAAATACATGGACTATATTACCTTAGCTGCTGTGATGACAGTTTTATGTGTCACCCTGGCTAGACGACAGTCCTCAGTTACTCAGGGAAACACTTAGTTTAGGTGTTGCTGCCAGGGCATTTTGAAGATGTGATTAAGATCTGCAATCAGTTGACTTTAAGTAAGGGAGAGTATCCTAGCTGACCCAAGGGCCTGATCAATCAGCTGAAAGGCCTTAAGAGCAGAGCTGAGGCTTCCCTGAGGAAGAAGAGATTCCACCTGTGGACGGCAGCGTCCAGCTGTGCCGAGAGCTCCGGCTGGTCCCTCCCGATGGTCTGCCCCGTGGATTTAGGAGGTGCCTAGCCTGCCCCACACAACATGCACGCACGCGCGCACACACACACACACACACACACGCAGACACACACACGCCCCATTCTGCTGGTCTTGCCTCTCTGGTGAAGTCATGGCTGATGCATCTTCCATAGAAAAAAGTTAACTAGGCCCATTTATTTCTTGTCTTTTCTAAAAGGACCAGTGTAAAAAACTACTATTTGTACATTGTCCCCCAGTACATTTTCAAGCCTGAGAGCTTGGTGCCAAACTTCTCACTTAACTGTAGTCATTAGCGCATCCTGAGTGCCTAAGATGAGGTATAAAATTTTTTAAAATTTTATTTAATAGAGGCTAAATTTAGTAACCCAATTTCTTTTTCTATTAATGGACAACCAAACTATTCTTAACATCGAAGTCATATTTTTGCCTTGCAATGAATGCGTGCTGGGTATTTACTTTTAAGATAAGTAAAATCTTGGACATGGGCAATGAAAGAATTACATATTGTAATTCATGAACTCATGTAATAGATATTTATGTTTTTAAAAATCAGGTATAGCTTAGTGTTTAAAAGCAAAGACTTTTAAGTCAGAGAGATCTGGAGACAGAGGCCCTTCTCAATCATTTATTATCTGTGTGACCCTAATATCTCTTTGCTTTAGTTTCGCTTTTTTGCATCTTCAAAGAAGGAATACTAAGATAATGGATATTGAACACAGCCTTTGGCACATGGTAAACACAATAAATAGTATTCTCATAGGGTTATGGATGCTTTACAAGCAATGTGATTCGATAGAAAAGTAAGGTGACAGTAAGCATTGCCCAGTGTGTTGATAATAACGACTGTTATTGAAAGTCTCCGGTGAAATGGGACAGCCTCAGAAATGCCAAGCTTGTAAACCCCCACATTTACAAGAATGCTGTATAGGAAGGGATGCTGGCCTCTCTTTGTTGGTACACACGCCGAGGCCAGTCACTGTCAGGCCCCTGAGACGATCTGACTACCATGGAGCTACGGGAAGGGCCATCGCATTAATCATTCAATATCATGTCAGTGGAGTGGAAATGTGATTGGTGTTTGAGTTTGATTTCCCCTGTGCCCGTGACGGACACATTCAAAGGGAGACGTATGCATATTTTCTCTTTGGAAGCATGAAAAGGAACCAAATGAACAGCTTCCAATGCAATCAGAATATTCAAGTGGATCAGTGAAGGTTAGAGCCAGTCGGTATCTACAAGTAATGACCCTTAAAATGCGATTTTGATCCTGAAAGTTGAATGATCTCGGTATGAAAGCCAAAAATCTCTTTGTGTCTGTTTGCTGTCATGCCTGCATCTATTACAAAAGTGTTTTATTATGTGCCCTTCATTTTTTTCCTGCAGCGCTCAAGTTCTATGTTAAAAGAACGGGAGGGAATCAAATACCATCTCAGGACCCCTTACTGCAGTCAAGGCGAACATCAGAAGCCTGAATCGCACACTTGCATTTTGGGAATAGACGGCGTATTTTTCTTCTTGGTGTCTAACTTCCCAGAAGATGGCAGCAGAGGCACACGAGAGCTGCCCGGGCGCGCGGAAAAACAGTACATCTAAAGGGGAAGGCTCCCAGTGGGGTGACCAGCAGCCGAAATATGCAAAACTCATTCTGACAAGACAGTGCCACAGGACGGAAGTGGTGTTAGATTAGAATGCACTGGAACACAATTTTGAAAGGAAGAGAGTGCGGTTATTTCCTTTCAAGTACACAACATCTTAAAATCACAGAACCTCGTGGTGGGAAGCAATCTTAAACTGTGCCAAGCTCTAAATGCAAACAGACCAAGACAATCTTTTACGTGTAGCCTCCAAAGGGCTAGAGATGAATAATTTTAAGGAGGCTGGACGCAGCTCAGCGGCCAACCTGCTCTGCAGTCACTCCTCAGATTCTACACTGATCGTCAAGGACGGCTGCGCGGTGCCACCTCGTCTCCCACAAAGACGCCGTGACCTCGGTCACCCTGCATCCCTGAAGTTATTGTTGTTTTGCATTTGCTACCTTGAAACACCCTTACTTTCCGTGGTTTAATTTCCATTCGTGGGATTCCCTCAAAGAACTCCGAACGTGCCCTTCTCCTGCACTCCGTCCCTCTCTCCAGGGACACACAGGCGCCCATGCCGCTGAGCGACCCTGGAGCGGCACACTCGCTGCGGGTGTGATGTCGTGGAAAACTCTGTTACCGTCCGCCTCGGAACGGGGCTCATCCGCTCAGCTTCCTCGCGACGGAGCTGGCCTCAGGACCGGACAGTGACGCGGCCCTCCTGGGCACGGCGTGCTGGGAACCGAACTGCCCAATCTGTGATTATGGACACGGGCATTTAAGTTTATTTCCTACTTCAAAATAGTTACTTTTTTTTTTTTTTAAATAAAACTCAAAATGTTTATGGGCTATTTATTTGTCCTTTTCTTTAACAGCTTTATTGAGATTTAATTCACATAGTCACGGGTTTTAAAATATAGA